GTGACTCAGAGTGTCTGGGCCAGGCAAGACTCAGACCTAGATATTTCAATGTCTATTTTGTAGCACCAACTATTGACAGTTTTCTCCTTAGTTACCCCTAGACTTGGTTGGTTATAAGAACCATGAACGCTCCTCTCTTTTGCCAAACCAAATAGTTGCTCTTAAATTAGTTGCTGTTTTTCTTTTAATCTAGAGGAGACTCCAGCCCAAGAAATTACTCTGAATTTGCATGTTTGCAAATGACTTATGCATGACTTGAGGCTTCTCCTGTTAAACTGGCTTTTAAATTTAATTTCAGTTGGACACATATTAGCTCAGACAAGAATGTGTCCTTTGTAAACAAACATTCCTCATTAAGCTCTTTAGGCAAAAGAAAAAGATGAAAGAAATGTGAAAGTTAATAACACTCCAGCTGATAGGGAGTCACCTTTCTTCCTTTTCACTAACATTTTTTGAGCACCTACTATGTGCTTGGCATTGTCTATATTAACTCATTTAAGCCTTCTGTTTTGTTTTGTTTTGAGACTGAAGTGCAGAGACACAACCACATCTTACTGCAGCCTCCACCTCCCAGGCTCAAACTATCCTCCTATCCCAGCCTCCAGAGTAGCTGGGACTACATGCATGTGCCACCAAACCCAGTTAGTTTTTTATTTTTATGTTTTGAAAGACTAAGTCTCATTATGTTGCCCGGGTTGGTCTCGAACTCCTGGCCTCAAACAATCCTCCCACCTCAGCTTCCCAAAGTGCTGGGATTATAGGCATAAGCCACCACACCCAATCTTAAACCTTCTAATGCTGATGAGGTGGGTATTAACTACCTTGTTTAACAGATGAGGAAACAAACAGATATGTTTGGAGAAGTTAGGTGACTTATTGGGTGTTTTTGTCCTCTTACAGTCATGTTATTTAGTTCCAAAACCTTGGTGATATGGGCATCTTTGTATAACAGGGAAAGGTGAAGCCAGTGCATATATTTTCTCCAGAACTCCTATTTTAAGTTTTTCCTGGACCAAAGGCTCTGCTGCAAGTGATTTTCTCCCAACCAATCAGAGATATAGATAGCATTTTCCATGTGTCCAATGTGTGTGGATGACAGAGAAAAAAAAACACACAGTTTCTGGCACCTTTCTCTGTCCCTTCCGTGTCAGTAGAAGATCAGTTTTCCTAAAAATGACAGCAACAGGCTGGCGTGGTGGCTCACACCTGTAATTTCAGCACTTTGGGAGGCTGAGGTGGGAAGATCATTTGAGCCCAAGAGTTCAAGACCAGCCTGGGCAACATAGTAAGATGCCATCTCTACAAAAAAAAAAAAAAAGAAAAATTAGCCAGGCATAGTGGTGCATGCCTGTAGTCACAACTATTCAGGAGACTGAGGCAGGAGAATTGCTTGAGCCCAGGAGGTAGAAGCTGAAGTGAGCCATGATCGTGCTACTGCATTCCAGCCTGGGTGACAGAAGGAGACCATATCTCAAAATAATAATAACAGGAACAAAGGGAAACATTCAGTGTTCTGCCACAGCTTGTGGCACTTGAGACCTCCTGGAGATTGGGAAAGCGTCTTGGTAGGGAGGTTATGAGGACAGGCTCTGGGGCTAAACAGGGCTCAATTCGAATCCCCACTCCACCCACTTACCAGCTCTGTGACTCTGGTCTAGTCTTTAAACCTCTTTTTAAAATGGGGTAATAATAGCATCTACCTCTTACCATTCTTACAAAGAGTCAAAGAGTACCAGGTGCAGTGGCTCACACCCGTAATCCCAGGACTTTGGGAGACCAAGGCAGGCAGATCACCTGAGGTCAGGAGTTTGAGACTAGCCTGGTCAACATGGCGAAATCACATCTCTATTAAAAATACAAAAATTAGCCAGGTGTGGTGACGCGTGCCTGTAGTCCCAGCTACTAGGGAGGCTGAGGCTGGAGGATGGCTTGAATCTGGGTGGCGGCAGTTGCAGTGAGCTGAGATCATGCCACTGCACTCCAGCCTGGGTGACAGAGTAAGACAGGCTTCGTCTCAAACAAAAAAAGAATCAAAGAGATAATATAGGTAAAATGCTTATTAATTGTCTTTATCTCTCTTCATCTCTACTTCCCCTCCTGCAGACTTTGGGTTGATAGTGTCCTTTTTTTTTTTTAGACTAGTCAAGTGAAATAGTGGGAGTGGGGAAGGAACAAAGAAATCTGTAACTGGTTGTGATCAATTAGTTGTAAACACCACTGCGTTTACAACGCAGCTGATATGTATTCTCTAGGTATCTGTGGCAGGCAGACTCTAGAATCGCCTCCATTAATCCACATCTTTTGGTATTCATGCCCTTGTGTAGTCCCCCTGTGGGCAAGTTCTGGGACTTGCTAATAACAAATAGAACATGGCAAAAGTGATGTCACTTTCATGATTAGGTTACACGAGATTGTAACTTCTCTCTTGCTAGTAGACTCTCCTACTGCCTCCTTTTGTTTGTTCAAGACAGCATCTTGCTCTGTTGTGCAGGCTGGAGTGCAGTGGTGTGATCATGGCTAATTATAGCCTTGAACTCCTGGACTCAAGCAATCCTCCTGCCTCAACCTCCTAAGTAGCTGGGACTACAGGCATACACCACCATGCCTGGCTAATTTAAAAAATTTTTTTGTAGAGACGAAGTCTCACTATGTTGCCTAGGATAGTCTCAAACTTCTGGACTCGAGCAATCCTCCCACTTCAGCCTCCCAAAGTGTTGGAATTATAAGCATGAGCCACTGTGCCCAGCCCCTATTGCCTTTTTTCTTTCATAGTTTTTATTTTTAGAGACTGGGTCTTGCTATGTTGCTCAGGCTCAATTTGAACTCCTAGGCACAAACAATCCTCCTGCTTCAGCTTCCCATCCTGCTGGAACTATAAGCATGTGCCACCAGTCTTGGCTTCCCTGTTGACTTCTCGGCTTGCATGCTTTGATAAAGCAGGCTGCTACACTGGAGAAGCCTACGTGACAAGCCTTTGGCCAAAATCCAGCTAGGAACTGAGACCCTCAGTCCAACAACGCTTAAGGAACGGAATTTAGCCAGTAGCCATGGGAATTCAGAAGCAGATCCTTTTTGATTTGAGCCTTTAGATGAGACTCCAGCCCTGGCTGATACCTTGATTGCAGCCTTGTGGGTGACCCTGATGTAGAGGAGCCAGCTATGCCATCCTCAGATTCCTGGCCCACAGAAAATGTGAGATAATAAATGTCTTTGTTGGCTGGATGTGGTAGCTCACACCTGTAATCCCAGAACTTTGGGAGGCCAAGGTGGGCAGATCACAAGATCAAGAGATCGAGATCATCCTGGCCAACATGGTGAAACCCCGTCTCTACTAAAAATACAAAAATTAGCGGGGTGTGGTGGCACACGCCTGTAGTCCCAGCTACTCAGGAGGCTGAGGCAGGAGAATTGCTTGAACCCGGGAGGCAGAGGTAGCAGTGAGCCAAGATAGCACCACTGCACTCCAGACTGGCCATAGAGCGAGACTCTATCTCTAAATAAATAAATAAATAAATAAATAAATACATGTGTTTGTTGTAAGTTGCAAGCAGTGTGTTGTTACAAGTTTTTTTTTTTTTTTTT